TGACTTTTCTTGTAGTATCTATCTCATATTTTCTTGCTCTGAAAATGAAAAATATTATAATTTCTTGCAAATTTTTTTCTAGCCCTCTCTTCCCCTTTCTGCCCTGGAATACCAATTACATGTGTGTTAGGGCAATTGCTATTGTCCGTATGTCACTTAGGCTGTGCTCATTTTTATTATCCATTTTTCCCTCTAGACTTCATTTTGGACAATTTAAGTTGCTAAGTCTTGACACAAATATTTCTTCCTAAAGTCTCTAATGTAGAGTATTTTTACTTCAGATATTATATATATATATTTTATTTTATGTGTATGAGTGTACTGCCTGCATGTAGGTAAGTGCACCCATGTCGTGCAATGCCCGTGGAGGACAGAAGAGGCCATCAGATCCCCTAGAACTGGAGTTACAGACAGTTGTTGGCTTCCATGTGGGTTCTGGGATTCGAACCTGGGTCTTCTGCAAGAACAACCAGTGTTCTTAACTGCTGAGCCATCTCTCCAGCCCCAGATATTATATTTTTATCTCTAAAAGTGCTATTTAGATCTTCTTTATAGTTTATCTCCTCATCTTGCTTGTGCTTTGCCTAGAACATATTTATAATAGTTCAAGATCTGTATGTGCTATCTATATCATTTCTATTATTTGTTTCCATTGATCTATATTAAATTTTTTATATTTATGGGTCACATTTCTTTAAATGCTATGTGTTTTTTATTGGATGTTGGACATTTGTGAGTGTATATGTATATGTATGTGTACATGTTCATGTGTGTGCACGTGCACGTGTGTGTACCTGCTTGTGCAGGTCGGAGGTCAGTGTCAGGTATCTTCCTCAATTGCTTTCCACATTCTTTTTTGGAACCAGCTATCTCACTGGTTTGGGTAGGCTGGCTGGTCAGCAAGCCAAAGGCTCCTCCTGTCTCCACCGCTCCAGTACTACCACACCTGGCTTTGATGTGGGTGCAAAGGATCTGAACTCAGGTCTCTGTGCTTGCACCACATGCACTTTAATAACTGAGCTATTTGCCCAGCCCCCATATTGTTTTTATTGTGGTTATTGGTTGGTTGGTTTTTGTTTGTCAGCCTGCCTTAAATATTGTTTTACATCAGAGCATAAAGATTAATCACATTCTTTTTAGATGTTGTATATGTTATTTGTTCTAGTTTTCTTTCTGCTTCTGTGATAAAACACTGTCCAAAACGAAAGTATTTATTTCGTCTTACACTTTATAGCCCATCATAGATAGAAGCCAAGGCAGGAGGGACTCAAGGCAGGAACTGAAGCAGAGACCACAGAGGAATGCTGCCTACTGGCTTGCTTTCCCTGACTTGCTAAGCTACCTTTCTTATATAGCTCAAGCCTGCTTGCCCAGAGGTGGCACTACACACAGTGGGCTGGGCCCTCCTTTGTCCATTAGCAACTGAGAAAATTTCCCACAGACATGCCCACAAGGCAATCTGGTGGAGGCAGTTCCTTGGTTGAGAGTCCTTCTTCCCAAGTATGTCTAGGTTTGTGTCAAGTTGACCAAAAGTAACTATAGCCTATCTGATGGAGACAATTCCTCAGATGAAAGTCACTCTTCCTAAGTATTTCTAGGGTTTTATGCCAAGTGGACAAAAACTATAACATTATGTTTGTATTATAACATATTTAATCCATGTCCTGTCATTAGAAAAGTCTAAACCAAGCTCCTAGATGTAGAGCTGCA